ACAGTAGCTCACTCCCATTTCTGTGCCAAGGGACAGTGCCACCTCTCTCTTCTCTGGTGGCCAAATCGAACCAGTATAAGAGCTTAGTCCTCCCTCTTCCATGAATTCTTCCCGAATTCCTTCATCGAAGTCTCTCAATTCCCAAAGCAGAGAGTTACTGTTAGCACACTGACCGGAGCCCCAAACCAAGAGCCACCAGGGCCAGGCCCTTGCAGGGGACTCCAGGGACTCTGGCTAAACGGTGAACTCCACATGGACAGTTTTAGACTTTTTGATCCCTACTAGTCCCCAGAAGGCATAGCAGATACTGAACTTGACCAAAAGGTACAATCTTACAAAGATGTCTATGATGAACATGAAATCTGGCATGAAAGACAATGAGAGGAACTACTTGTGGAACCAGTATCTCCAGGAAAATTCCAGACATCTCCCCATTTCTTGGTGTGTCTCTGACAGAGACCACAATGTCAAATAAAGAGGCGATTCATGGGTTTCAGTGATCTTACTGCCTAAATTGATTGACCACCCAGTCAGTCTGATCAGCTGCATAAATTGATCATTAAGAAGATGGGGGAGAAGGCGGAAGCGCACACCAAGTGACAGAGGAACAATCCATTCAGTATTTGCATTTAAACACAGCTCAAGGGTTTCGTGTATTAAATGTGACCCAAGTCTGGTGTAGGGGAACAGGAGTAGGTGGACTGATTACCTGAGTTGGAATGGGTCCAAGAAACCGAGGTCAGCATTGCTCCGGTCACAGAAAGGACAGAAGGGCCTCCCTCATCGTGAGAACACGGGACTACTGGTAGATGATGCTTCTAGAGGCTGGTGGGGAGAAACAGAAGGAAGGATTAGAACACAGGGGGAAGGGCAGCTCTCTTAACTGCAATAGGGGTCTTCTTCTCCATCCTGACTGAAAAACGGCACCCCTCCGTGGCAAGTCAGTTGCAACAGCACCTCTCTATTTCTCGGGTCGTTAAGGAAGCGCTGGGTCTTTAATGACCAAGTCTTCTTGCGAGAGCCTCCAAAAGGTCCCAGACATTAGAAAATACAGGCAGCAGACATTGCAAATCATCTTCTTTTACTACAACGGTCATTGACACGTGGGTGAGATAGCTTTCTACTACCACTACCATTGAACCGCAGAGGTGAGAGAGCAGCACAATGATTCAGCACTTGGCTGAGCACTGAACGTGTGGCAGTTTGACCAGATGAGCTGTTCTGCAGGGCAGAACACCTGCGGGTCTGGTCGCATGAAGATTACAGCTTAGGAAATCTGATGGGGCAGTTCTACTCCATCCTGAAGGGTCACCAGGCATTGGCATCAACTCGATGGCACCCAACCACCACCATCAGCACCAGTGAAGCACCTTTCTTTAAGAAAGCAGAAGCAGAAGCACCACCAAGGCCAGCATCCCCCAAAGGACCAGGCTTTATCCGCTAGGGAGACCAGGTGCACAGGTAGCAAAGTCACAGACTCTCTGAACCTGCTGGGAGCCCTGCCATTTACAACAAAATGCTCCTGGCTCAAAGATCCCCCACACTAAAGCCCACGCTACAAGCTGCAAGTTATTGGACAACAGTTAGCCAATAAAGGGGCACTATTTGGAAGATGCTACATGAGACAGATCACAAGATAATTTATTTTTTTTTACAAGATAATTTTTTGATGGAAGATTGCACTTTTTTATCCTAGTCTTGATTGAGGACAAATGGATAGACTCTCTCGTATAAAGAATAGTATTATCCTCTGAGCAGTAGCGTGAAAATGTTAGGCCATGCATGCATTAGGTTCTCAAACTGCGGGCCTCAGACATGCAGCACAAACAAAAGCTTTCGCTGCAATGGCATGGGTTCCACCCAAGATCTACCGACATGGGCTCCTTATTGGTGGAGAGCAGAGGCTGTTTGAACAAGGCACCCCAGAGAGTCCACCACACCTTAGATCATGACTCCATCCCCCCATTCAGAGAGGGCCTGTTGTCAAATAAAGATATCTCGCTGTGTTGTCTTAGGAATCCCCGTCCCTGCCATCAAATTGATTCTGATTCACAGCCACCCTATAGGACAGACTAGAACTGTCCACATGAGTTTCCAAGACTAGATCTTTCCGGCAGGTGGTTTCACCCTATTCACCTTGCAGTTAACAGCCCAATGCATAACCCACTCTGCCACCAGGGCTACTGTGCTGAATCCCTGGGTGTTAAAAACAGGTAAGCGGTGGACTATTAACGAGAAGGTGGTGGTTGAACCCTCGCAGGCCCGCCCCCAGGAAGACCTGGTGATCTGTTCCCAGGAAGCTCATTGGTCAGGACGCCCTGTGTAGTACTTCTGCTCGGACAGGTCACAGGGAGTTGCTCTGAGTGAAAATCGACTTTCGGGCACGGAACAACAACGCTAAGTCATCAGTTAGAACCAGCTCGCCACGATGGAGAATCCACTGGACGGCATCTAAGAAATACGCTTAGTATTTGGTGACCTGAGCTTACCAGAAGCACTGTCAAAGAAAGGTGTGGCAAAAAGGTGACAGCCCTAAAAGCCCTAGGGAGCACCTGGGGCCAAAGCTGAGGGCACCTGGTTCACTGGAACTGCGTGTTCATCCCGTGACAGGCAGAGCTTTGAGCGAGGGACTGGAGAGTCTGGGAGGGCCGGAGAGAGAAGAAAGGCATTGTCCACTCTGAGAATCATCCCCCAAACCAAACCAGGGCTGGTGGTCAATTCTCACTCACAGGGACTTCACAGGCCGGAGGAGGGCTGTCTGAGGCTGCCAAGCTTTATGGAAGCTGAAAGCCTCAGCTCGCTCTTCAGGAGCAGCTGGTGGTTTCGAATTCCTGACATTGCGGTTAGCAGCCCAACACATGCAGAAAACCTTGTGGAGTGCCGTTCTACGCTGCATTACAGGTCGGAATCAACTCCACAGCACTAGGGCCCGAAGGCTTCTGAGCCCCGTCTGCACTTCCGACTGGGAACACCACACCTGTATTGGGATTAACAGCTGAAGGTTTGCCCGGAGGAGAAACCAGGGAAAAATTTCAAGTAGATGCAAGCAGCGGGAGCTCACAGTAGCCTGAAGCCATTCCACAAGGGAGTGCCTCTCCCAGAAGGCCCCAAGGGCATCGCTATATTTCACTGAATGCCTGAAGTTGAACTTTGCATCTATTGTCAGGAGAGACCAGACCCCGGAGAAGGACATCGCGGTTGCTAAAATAGAGGCGCAGCGGAAAAAGAGGAAAGCCCTTGGCAAACATGATGGACGGACACAGTGGCTACAACACTGGGCCTGGCACAGGAGCAGTTGTGAGGATGGCGCAGTACCGGCAGTTTGTCATTCAGTAATCCACAGGGTCGCTATGGGTCGCAACTGTCTCAATGGCACCTAAAGCCAATGACATGGGACTTGTAAAGCAAAATCCTATCAAAAGGCATAGAACCATCCTCACCATTGAGATATTTGTGTGTGTGGGGGTGGTGGTGGTTGTGAACAATGATTGTGATCAGATGGTCCTTTGAAAAGACGAAAGAACACTCCCTGCGCCTTTAAGACTAGCCTAAATATTAGCAGAGACAGCCAATCCGAGCCGAGGGGTCCACCGGCCAGCCACCAAATTACTACTCCAAAAAAGAGTCCCTGGCAAATTTTCCCTTTTTGTAGTTGGGATTGTTGGTTCATGCCCCTGCCCTCAGCATCTCCCGGGGAACGTCTCCAGGCACACCGACATCTCTGACAGCAGGAATTCACCGTCTCCACAGTAGTGCCCTCCCAGACGGACCATTCACAAGCTGATTTCCATACGTAACTGGCAGAGAGATTAATCAGGCTTCTAAGCCCAGCACCTGCCGTGGGAGTCCTTCCCTTCCCTGGCGAAGCCAAGCCGCCGGCCCCCAGACCTTTGCTTCTGAGCCTCCCGATCTGTCTGGCAGGAGAGGGCCTGCTCCCATGTCACCTGAGTCACTCTGATTGGTTGGCTCCCTTCTGAGCCCCCCACAGTCTTCATGCACATGGCAGCTAGGTCAGAAGTACCCGAGGGTAGAGCCAGGCCCAGTGGCACCACCTTCCCCTCCCTCTGTGCAGGGCCGGGGCTCGTATTTCTGAAATCGAAGAGGCTCTTCTGCTGCAGTGTTGCGTCCAGCTGGCCTGGCCATGCAGGGCCCATGCACTGCAAAGTATGTGTCCTTTCTTGTTCTACTCTTTGTAAGGGTCTGAACTTGACTGAATTCAGCAGCTGCCGGGCCCTTGGTGAGCCGATGGCTAATGACTCCCTAGCCTTGCTCATGGTCCTCAGTCCAGTTAAGCTTCCACTTGGGGTTTTCATTCTGTCCTGGGCAGGCGAGATCAACCCTCCACAAAGAGGCCTTCCCGAGGCAAGAGTGGGAGGGCGGTGTCTCCATGTAGAGCCAGCCGATCCAAAGCCAGCCAGGAGGCAGAAGCTGGCTGGTGACATCATCCAAGGAACTGAGGCCTCGGCACACCAGGATGGCTCTGTGTCCAGAACCCGGCAGAGTCCACACCCCTGGGGTCACTAGCCAACCGCATGGCTCTGGAAAAGTTAGTTAACGGCTCAGGTTCCAGGTCACTTCTCTGCAGTATCAGGTGTTCACTCCCTAGGGCTCCGTTCAGCTTGGAGATTGTCTGATCCGATGAATTTGAAGCGGAGCCCTGGTGGCCCAGTGGTTTAAGTGCTTGGTTGCTAACCACAAGGTTGGTGGTTCCGATCCACCCGACGCTCCAAGGGAGAACACATGCTTGTCTGTTTCCATACAGCCTTGGAAACCCTATGGATCATTCTAAGCTGCATCGACTCAACGGTAATGGGTTTTTAAGACTTTGAAAAGAGCAGCCCTTCGCCTGGGTACTGGGCTTCGTACCAACAGCTGATGTGTCTCAGCATGTCAATTCCACGCTTCTCTTCACACCAGGTCTTGTCTCCCACGGGTGGGTTCGAACTGCCAACTCTTGGGTTGCCAGGTGAGCACTTACCCACTGCCCCACCAGAGTCCCTTTACATCAGGCTAAATGTGATCCAGTTTAAACAAACCATTACCAAACTCACTGCCATTGTAGATTCCAGCTATAGCGACCCCAAAGGACAGAGCAGAACTGTGCCTCTGGGTTTCTGAGACTGCAACTCTTCACGGGAGGAGAAAGCCCCATCTTCCTACCACAGAGCAGCTGGTGGTTTCACACGGCGACACACAGTTCACGCACACGCCACGCGTGACCCACTATGCTGCCAAGGCTCTGCCCAGGAAGCTCAGGGACATCAAAACGTGGCTGAGTTGCCCTGAGTGCTTGCTGTTAAGACAGGGATGGCCTCAGGAAATCTCACTATTCAATAGGCAGAGATCATAAGCATTTGAAAGTTGTTCAACAAAGGTAGATTTTCACAAGGGGTTAAGGAGTCAAGTAAAACCAGTCATTGGATGGGACGATGAAAATACATAAGCCGTGGCACTCTTTTGTTGCTGTTGTCATGAACAAGACATAGAACATACCCTTTGTCAAGGCGACATTTTTTTTCATATGCACCAGTGACATCAGTCACATTAATCATGGTGTCCCACCATCACCAGCATCCATTGCCAAGTTTTCCATCAGCAGGAAAGCCCATAGTCAAGCTCAGTTAGGGAGATCCACAGCTCATCAGAATGCAAGGCTAGGATTGCAGACACTCAGTTAGGAGAATAGGAAGGGGGAGGAATCATAAGGTTATGGGGTGGAAACGATATTGAAGCTCAACCTTTCCAAGTAGCCAACACAGCCTGCAGCCACAAAGTCGATTTGAACTCACAGAATCCCTGCAGCACACAGTAGGACGGT